TCTTTAGCCGAGGTCTGTTGTCTCCTGGGCTGTCGCTAGAGTGCACCTTTCTGGGGCAGGAGGCTGTCTCCTGAATATATTATATGGTAAATTCAGACGGAATGGAGGCTGATGTTTTCTGGGACTGGGAACTGGGCTCGGCAACTGGCCATTCACACATTCATGTATGCAGGTCAAATGCTGGCTTAGTTCTGTTTTGCTCCCTTCTGCATAGGGTGAATTGTCCACTATTTTAAATGAATACGTTTTCAAACATCTTTTATGATTCATCTCGAATCCCCCCCTCCCCCCGGCCGCAAGAAACTGGACAAGCTTTTAACAAAGTTGCAGAGCTCATTTTTGGAGAGAGATTAGATGTCCAGGAGATATTAGATCTCCAGGATATTAGATGTATGTGTATTTTGGGGGAAGCAAAGTGACTTTCAAGCCATTTCTGCCTCATTGAAAAGTCCTGCCTGCTTCAAAAAGCCTTTAAATTTCTGTGCTGCCAAATTTGCAAGCATCAGAATAGCATTTTCAAGGCTCAGCAAAATATATCTGAGGCAAGGAAACCATTCTTGATACTGAAGGATGTTGGTTGCCTGGCTGAGTTCCATAAGAAAAGTCTCTGTGTTCTTCTGCCAGAGGTGGCTAATGAGGAGTCCATTTTTCCTGCCCAGGGTAGATCATGCCTAAAGTTTGATAGATCAATGTTGGTAACTCCAGTACAGAAGAGGCCCCAACTGGTAACATTGCAGGTTTTTTAAAATTTGCCACTGAGGATACCACAGCAGGCATTAGTGTTTGCAGCAGTGTTAATAAGTTGTTTCCACAGGAGCAGGGTGGAGGTGTTAATTAAATACCAAGGATATTCCAGTCAGTTCTAGCTTGATCCTGGCCATCTCCACATGGGTTATCTGCCCCGTGTTCAACACTTTGCTTAGTGGGTTTCCCCCCCTTTTCCCAACTGCATTCGTGCACCTCCTGTAACCAGCAGCCCCTGCCCTGCAATAGGGGTGGTCTTTCCCAAAAGAGGGACACCCCAAAATGACCTCTGAACCCCCAAAAGCAGTGCCGTCATAAAGCCAGGCTTGGCTTAAACAGTGGCTTTTGCTGGGAGACTAAGAGAATCTCATTTCTGATTTAAACACAGCCAAAGACAAGTGAAGACCACAGGTCTAGCTGCACTGTCAAACATCCTCCATGCAAGCACACACACACACCCCTTCTGCTATCAGCTCAGTCCATAAGGACTAGAATGGGCAAACCTGCTGTTGCCTGCTGGTCTACTGACCAGATGACCAGTCTTTTGTCTGTCAAATGTACAGGCAGGCAGGGACAAAGAGCCTCTGGCATATGACATTGTCATGAATGGAGTATGTTGCATGTTTCCTGCCCCCCAATCCTGTCTCCATATCTTTGTCTAAAATATCTGCATTCTGTATTCATTTTTTAAAAACAAATAATCAGAGGTTGGGTGGATCAGAAATGTCCTTCCTGGGATACGGAAAACGCTTGAACAGCCATAGTGATCCATGCAAACCCCCCCAAACAGGAACAAAATCCATGTAATTCCTTTTATCAGGAACAGCCAGCTTTGGAGCACAGCAGAGGTCTTCATCATGCCTGGATGTTGTGACCTTTAAAAAGAGTTTTTTTGGGCCGTTAAATCACAGCTGACTTACGGTGACCCCATGGGGTTTTCAGTGCAAGAGATTATCAAAGCAGGTTTGCTATGGCCTGCCTGTGCGTCACGACCCTGGTATTCCTTGGAGGTTTCCCATCCAAATCCTTGCCAGGGCCAACCTTGCTTAACTTCTGAGACTGAGCCAGCCTGGGCTATCCGGGTCAGGGATTTTAAAAAGAGAGAAGGGTGGAAATCAGATTCTTCAGGCCATGATATGAAGGTCCGATCTCTCGTTCTTCGTATGAAGAATGCAAGCAGGCCGTTGGCTTCACTGTATTGCTGGCGTGATGTCATCTTACAGCACAATCACGGGAAGCTGTATTCAGTCCATGCCCTCCGATCTTTGTTCTTTCATTGAAACCTTAAAAACATAGTTCTTGCCGGTCAAGGAATACAGCTGCCCAGCAAGCTGAAAACAATGGGAAGCACTGTAGGGTCTCAGTCTTTTGTTCAGAGTCAATTAAATCTAAATTACGTGGTGTTGCCTGTTTTGAGAGGTGCCTCAGTTCTGGATTAAGAGCCAGTAGACACGCTCAACCCATTTTGTGCCTCTGCTCATTTCCAGGTGATTCCGATGTTATTGTAAAGGCATTCTCTCGTGGTCCTGGGTGGGGCAGTCTGGGAGAAGCTCCTCCTCAGAGGCCGGGTTAGGGTCTCTGAAGTTTGGGATTCCTGGAGGGGGGGAGGGGCTTCACTCCCTGGCCCCAGTCTGGGCCCTGCCTGCAGGGCTCTTAGGTGCTGCCGACTGTGATCTCTCAGAGGGCACTTGAGCCCCAGAGCAGGTATGCTGATACGACCCTAACGGGCTTCTTTGCTTCAGTTGTGGTTATTTCCTGAAGTGGTGGGCCTCTCTCAGAGGTCTTCACGCTGTTCTCTGTATGGTTTGTTGGGGGGAGTTTTTGGGGACCATTTTGCAGGAGATCCATTTTCACATTTGATCCTTTCTGGAGAGGGAGTTGTGTTGCTTCAGGACCAGACTGGGGCCCGGGAGCAAAGCCCCTCCCCTCCAGGAATCCCAAATTTCAGTGCCCCTCCCGGCTTCCAGGTTGGAGCTTCCCCCCACGGGTAGAGACTGCCCCACCCCAGGACCACCGAGAAGGAGGATTCACAGTACGTGAGACTCCTCTTCCCTTCCAGTGTGAGATTTTTAACCAAAGAAACCTGTGGCTGAAATAGCCATTGTTCTTTTTCTCTCCCTCACGGTTCTCTGCTCAGGATGGGATGTGGGAGGAAATAGATTGTGTCCCTGTGGGTGTTTATTGTGTACTTTGCCTTGCCTTCTCTTGAAGCACGCAGGAAGACTGCTTCATGTTTTGAAAGGGCAGGAGGAGGCAGGAGAGCCTGTTGACCAAGGAGAGGGTGGCAGAGGTGGGAGGAGGCCATGACTGGCAGGAGAAGGGAACCAAATGGGCCAGAGGGTGAACCCCCCCCCCACGCTGATGCCGTTTCTCTTCTTGTCTCCTCATTTCCCCCCCAACAGCAAATGTGACTCTGGATCCAGACACGGCCTATCCCGAACTCATCCTGTCTGAGGGTCAGAAAAGCATGAGACCAGGAGAAAAAGCTCAAGCCCTGCCCGACAATCCTGAGAGATTTGAAGAGTACTCTATTGTGCTGGGCCGTGAGGGATTCACAGCAGGCCGCCATTTCTGGGATGTCCTCATGGGAAGTGAGGAAGACTGGGCTGTGGGAGTGGCCAGAAAGTCTGTGGGGAGGAAGGGAGGCTTTATCTGGAGTCCTGAGGAAGGGATCTGGGCTGTGGGGAAGTGGGGTGGTGGTTACTATGCTGCCACAGAAGGCCCTGATCCTCCCCTGACCCTGACCGGGGAGCTGAAGAGGATCCGAGTGTGCCTGAACTACGCTGGGGGTCGAGTGGCCTTTTTTGACGCTGACCGAGCAGCTCTTCTCTACGAGTTCTCTGGAGCCTCCTTCCCGGGAGAGACCCTCCTGCCCTTCTTTTACGTGTATAAAAAAGGCCACCTCAAAATATTTTCCTAAGACCTTTTCTTCACGCCAGGACCATCAATAAGAAAATATGATTCCTCAAGAGTCCCCCTTTTTTTTTGAGTCCTGTAAAGGCCTCTCCTGTTTCCAGCCACCAAAACTGACTTGAGTAAAACTGAGACATTTTTTCCCTCCATTCCTTTGTTGTTGTTGTTATTTCTCAAAGTGACAGTAACACCTTTCACATTGTGAAGAATAGCAGCCTTTTTCTAAAGGAGAGCCCCAAACAGACCCCCTGGGCCCTCTCCAGCCTCCATTCTCTCTCTCTCTCTCTTTTTATTTATATGTGGCATATGCATGTATGTGTGTGTGTGCACTTGGAAGTCATAGCAACCTCTGTTGACTGACCCCTCCTGGGGGCCTGGAGGATATTAAGAGAGGTGGCTGATATTTCAAGGAGGCCTACCATCCAAGAACTTGCCAGAGTTGACCCTGCTTAGCTTCTGAGATCTTGGGCTTGCCTGGGCTATCGAGGTCAGGGCCAGCCTCCGGTCTTCTCAAGCAGAAGAGGAACCACTGCAGGGCCTGTAGAGGAAAAAGGGGCCCTGCATGTTTCAGTTACTATTCAGGAATTCCTCTTTAGTGGGCACCATCTGTTAGGATTTGCCTGTGTTCAACCTGCCCTTTCTGAAGGGCACTAAAGGTCCTGCCCCTATCCAAATTGCTCTGTTCACAGCATTCCCCCCCCCAGTTATAGCAGAGACTGAAAAGATGTTACACTTATTATAAAGTTACGTTACCTTGAAAGCTCTGCTGCTTGAATTGGGGTGGTTTTTTTTGAAGGGAGAAGCCATTTCAACAACCCAGAGAGAGTGCCATCGTTTGCTGGCTTGGTCCATCCACAACTGCAGTTGGACAGAAAAATCAGGAGATGGATTTTCCTACCCAGGGTCCTGCTGGGCAATGTTTGCATTAAGGTTTCTCTACCTGTTGTTTTTGTGCCTCTTTTCAAATCACTATAGGCCCTTTTCATCCGCACAGCCGTCTCCCTCTCCTTTGTGTTTCCAAGGAACTGGGTGCTCCTATTTTATCCTCACCATGGCCCTGAGAGGGAAGTTAGGCCCAGAGCAAGTGAGCGTCGTCCTGGAGAGTTTGGGTGCAGAGCTGGGGATGGTGGCGTCTGGGGAGGGACCAGAGGGGGCATAATGCCATAGAGTCCATCCTCAGAAGCGGCCATTCTCTCCAAGGGAACTGATTTATGTTTGTCTGAAGATCAACTGTAGTTCTGGGAGATACACACAGACCTCATCAGTTCAAGTCTGCTATGCTCTGCAACGCACTGGCTCTCAGCTGTGACAGTCATACTTATGTGTCGTCTACATTTCAGGAAAATGTGTTGATAACAAGCAGGGGACCCATGAGACTTGCAGCTGGGGGGGGGGCACTCAGCCGCCACCCTGTCCACCTAATTTGC